TTTAAAACAATATTTATTTCAAATGTTCAAAATGACCTCCATTTGCTTCCAAACACAGAATAGCTCTATTTATCACTCTCTCTCTACAAACACATTCTAGTGTTTCTTCATTTAATCTCCGACATTTTACTCTTATTCTGTTTTTAAGGTAGTCAATATCATTTAAAGACAAAGAGTAAACTGTTTCTTTTAGGTAATGCCAAAGAAAGAAATCTATATGAATAAGATCAGGATATCTATAGCAGGCCATTTAACATCTTTATCGAATGTTCTTCATCTCTTACCCTTCTGGGTTTAAAAACTCTTCATTTCTTTTGAAAACCAACTGCGTCCAAATTCCTGGCGAACTTTCCGAAAATTTTATCCGATGGAAGTTGTCTTTGCGGAAAACGATGTTGGTATAAATACCTGGCAACTTTAGCGTTCTTTCAACACTCCATAAATTAAAATCATATCTATTTTTTCTTGGTTACTATAAATATTCATGTTATAGTAATAGTAATTAGGTATAGATAGAATAGGTAGGTACAAAATATCAATTATTTTGAAAAACCGTTATTTAGAAACGTCAATTCAGCTGGCTATCATTTTTCAGAATAAAGCTACTGAAAATAGGGTTCATCTTTTTTGCTATTTTTCTAGCAATATTTCTAATGAAACTATAGACTTCTTTATATAACTGAATGCAGAAAAAGAATATCTTTCAGAATTGATAAAAAAATATATAGTGTGCCATTTGAACAAAAACAGTTGACTATAGCAATTTTAACATTATGTTACCATGGAGACGATCTAACAATGTCATTTGATAGAGTTTGAGCGGCGATTTAAAAATATATAGGGTTTGTTATAGCTATTTGATAAAACAAAAGAGAAACGAGGCCGCGAATATCAAACTGAATCACCCGATATACTTAACAATCTATCTAGAAAATTACAGTTTTCTACTGTTATCAAAAATATTTCATCAACATAATTTGACATGTATATAATAACATAAAATTTTGGAGTCAGTTGGGGTTGGCTGTTTTTTTTTTTTTTACTAAAACGTATTTCTTGGTCTTACCACAAACTTGCATTATAATTGATTAATACTGCATAAAATGTTATACTTACAATCACCAATTTACAAAAAATTTAAGAAATTCATTTACTTATCTTCATTATCTAGTCTTTCACCGATTATTAATTTTGATACTCATAAAGAAATTAATTCTAACATACGAGGTTTGTTCAGAAAATAACCGAACTTTATTATTTAAATCTTTATTATTCATTTTATACATTATTCATACTTGTTTCCTTCAAAGTACTCCCCTCTACTATTCACATACTTTTTCCAGCGGTGCTTTCCATTTCACTAAGCAGTTCTGAATAACTTCATTTGAAATGACCTTTAAATAATCTGAAAACGGCATCCTTTTAGGACTGATTTTAATTTCGGAAATAAGATAAAATCGCAAAGAGTCAGAATAACGAGTAAGGAGGGTGAGGGAGGACAGTAATCTGATTTTTGGAATAAAACTGACGAATTAAGAAAGCTGAGTGTGCAGGCGCACTGTAATGGTGCAAAAACCATGAGGTGTCTCGGCACTGTGGTCTCTTTTTGCGGATTTTTTCACGTAACCTTTGTAAAATACCTTGATAGTACACGGTTCACTGTTTCACCTCGCAAATAATTCAAAATGCACAATTCCATTAAAGTCGAAAAAACAGTGAGCATCACTTTGATCGAAACCTCTATCGAGACTTACGTGCTTCCTTGGGGCATGGAGATCCTTTGCCTATCCATTGTGACGAAACTTTTGTCTCAATATCGTAGTCGTAAACCTAGCTTCTGTCTCCCGTTATGATCCTTTGAATGAAGGTTTCATCGTCATTGACCTTGAATAATCCTTCAATAATAACGACAAACGCCCACAGGATTTTCTTTCTGTTGTTTGGCCATCAAACGAAGAACAAATTTTGCTGCAACTCAATGCATATTCAATTTTTCAGTCAAAATTTCATGCCATGCCCTAATTATGATGCTAACCTCTTCTGCAATTTCTCTGACAGTCAATCAGCGAGTTGCACGCACCAGATCTCTGACTTTCTGAATGAAAGGGTCATCAATTGAAGTCGTAGGCCTTCCTGGTCGAGGATCATCTTCAATTGACTGACTCAATCGTGAAAACCATTCGCAACATTGCGTACGACCTGAAACATCATCTCCATAAGCTTGTTTGAAAAGTTGAAACTTTCTGTGAAAGTTCTCCACAGTTTCACGCAATAATTTATGTTGCATCGTAGTTCCACAAAATCGCACATTTCATAAATTGTCACTAACACTTAAATAACAATATCACGAAAACTAAATGAGATATTAACGATCCAAGACCATGTGGTTTAAATACATCCATTAGTACTCAATTGAAACAGCTCGGTTATTTCCTGAACAAACCTCGTATGTCTTGGTAACAAGTGAGAATTTTTTAGATAGAGAATTTTTAAACAAAACATTTTATTATAAAAGTTGATACACAAACGCTGGGTGGCATAAAGCAGCAACATGAATAATTTAACAGGATAAGCCAAAATGCAATTTGGATAATTGGTAAATGAACGCACTGCTTATATCTTTTACCCATTTGCAAGAACGTGTTGGTGGATATTTAGCTATTAGTCATTAGTTCAAACTAAAACTAACAATTTTCGCACTTAGAAGTAGAATTGGATAGAAATAAACATTTTTGAACCCATGAAAATCTAGAAATCTATCGGAAAATTAGTTATTTTATGTTGTAAACAATTAAATTACCTGCAATTGTTTGTTAAAACACAAAAAACTGAAATATTATATTTTAATAGGTGTTTTCTGCTTATAAAGGCTTTAAATAAATAACTGGAATTTCATTTATTAAAAAATCTTTTCATTTTCATTCCTACCGACCAAACTCATAATCTAGCCATGACGCCTGGTCTTCTGCCTACTTATGTTGTAAAACTGCCGAATTTCTATATTCCAGTTTATGAAAAGATTCTGGAAGCCAGTTGCACACAAATTAATTTACTGCTGCATTATTTGAAGGTTAATACCACCACGCTTGTCATTTTAACTGGAGTATTTTAACGGAATAACATCTCTCTGCTTTAAATGAGGCCACTCACACTTACCCCGGTGGCACCGCAGCATTCGTACCGACCGCGTTACGCTGCTGCCAACATCTAGTGGAAAAACAAGTTATTCAATTAAATCCTAGGCGACGACGGTTGTACATAGTCTATTTTCCTACCCATAAAAGAAAAGATTCTTAAATAATGCCAAAAAATTATTTGTATGTACTTATCTAAATATTCTAATTATTTAAACAGTAATTCTTTAATTCAATATTTAAAATGAAATATGTGAATTTTTATTATTAGTACCTTTAAAACAATGCTGTCACAAACTCCTGGAATTTAAATCAATTACCTAGGCACATACAAAAGTTATGCCTGCTATGGTACAGCCTTCTAGATGTAGTATTCCAAAGCCAAATTCCTTCATAGTTTTAGCTAGTTACGTCGTGCTTAGTGCGCATTTTTCTTCATTTTATACATGCTGTTATTCATTTATTCACCGACCAACTTCTTAGCTAATTTACTTATTTGAGCTTATAATCCAATTTGAAATATGTATAACTTTAATTGAATATCTTCTAAAAACTGTTGTTCGTAGAAAAAGAATTTAATAATATTCAATTTATCTATCAGTACAAGATTTATTGCTGGTATACATACATATATCTTAAGAGAAATTATAAGTTTCGTTGCTTTTCATGGACCTCATGAATCTCAAGTAATGTTTGTCAATTCTTCATTTCAAAAATAATCAAGACATTTTCTTTCCGAATTAAAAAACGATAGTTGAAAATTTACCCTTGATAAGTTTCAATCTTCATCTGCAATAAAATAAATAATGAGATTCACCATCTTTTTCCCCTACTATTAACTGCAGGCATGTTATGGACCTCCACATCTTAGAGTCCCTTATTCTAAAGTTGGATGTATTGTACTTACGTTCCACTGTTCTGACAGTGGCATCTTCATTGTTATCAGCTTCCGAATTGTTCCAAACAGTCTATAACAAACTCTTTCTATGCCTTCACACTCGTGGGGTTGCATCTATTAATCCTGATATGATCTACCAGGCCAGTATTACTTCGAAGTTTTCTGAGTTTGCAGTGTCGTATTGGTTATCCTTATTGATCTACGATCAATAGGTTTATCGACAACACCTTTGATGTTTTATGATTTAAGAACTTATTGGCTTGCCCTTACCCAGGGGTACCTTGTCATATTTTTGGGTTTTATTTTTAACCCAAATCCGCCTTACTGTCTTAACAACAAAACTAGCAAACTTATGGTTTTTGAAGGGCAGCAGTGCGTTTGTAACCATGTATCTAAGTGTTACGTCGTTTTGACTTTCTAACAATACTAAAGCATCGGAACAACTTCATACCAGCTTGGATTTGATCGGATTAGAACTGATTGTCTTTAGTGTTGCCTGATACTTGGAGCAAATAACAAATCGTTGATTTATAACATTCATCCTTACAAATTCCGTCGCACTATTGACAAATAATAATGTTCTGAACACAAAGTTGTTAATATAAATACCTCACATATTTACAATTCCTTACTGATTCCTAGTTGTTGCTACAATAAGCTATATTGTGGAAAATAAAATGCAAAGGAATATGATATGAAAATTGAGTCAGAATGCTCGTTTATGTTTATTTTTCATTATGTGTATATTATAGAAATCTAAATTGTATTTTCACTATTATTTATTTTTTCAATAAGAATAAGTAAACTGTATTTCATATAGAAAAAAATTCACCATAAATCATTTTTGGTAGATTTTAGTTTTTAATCAAACAATAAATTGTATTACATAAAGAACAATCTTTACCTATATGCCCACGCACGCAAGATTGCGTGTCTTCAGCTTAAAATAAAAAATATTTTTGTTGCAGCTCTGAGTGGTATCCTTTTCCCCGGCAAAGAAGAGGCCTCTTACAGCAACTTTCGCTTATGGGAGTCGACGGGTTCCGTAATAACATACGTATACAGCCCTTATTTATGTACTAATGTAAAAATTTATCTGCTGCTGGGCCTGTTGATTATCGGGGCTCTTGGATATACTGGCGTGGAGTTCAAACAATATAAAAGCCGGGTTAAAGACAAGGAGACAAAGGGGAAATTTGAACTTATTAACGGCCCCGAGAAAACTGGAGAAGTAGCTGAATAGATTGTAACAATCTTGACAATTTTCTGTGATGTACCTAAATATTTTTGTAAAATATTTATACAGTGTATAGTATAGAATAAAACAAGTTTTTATTTATATTTCATTTTACTGACATACAATATTGTTACGGAAACCCACTTATCTTATTAATTACTTAATTAACTTCTAGATTTTAAATTTAAAATTTTGCAGTTTTCTAGAAGATGTCTGACTATATTCTATTCGATTCGAGATGCGTTATCGGAGACCTAGAAAATACTAGAACATGGATATAAAAAACGTGCTGTCTCGACGTAAGTAACGTCTTTTTTGGAAAATCAAACATAAGAGGCCGAAATATAAAACTAAAGAAAGTACTTGCTGAAGGTGAAGAACGAAAGAATTAGTTATTAAAATTCCATTGGAGTAATAACTGGAAATTGAGAAGAAATAAAGAGCTATGCCCAGTTTGGGTCCCAAGAGACCAGTTATGAAATGAACAGCGGACCCTTTAAGATGTAGTTATGAAGAAATTGGTTTCAACTGACTACTTGAAGTCTGGGGGATTAAATCGACCAAAATATCGAGTTTGTAGATTTTCCATCCGCCATATTGGATATGATATGTTGAATTTTTAATAATAGCCCAGTCATTATAGACATGAAACAGCATGTTTAAAGAAAAAAATACTATTAGAAGTTTATCTGCGGAATATTGTTCGGAAACCTGTTATAAACAAAATATCAAAAAATCAACTCGAGGCTAGTTGGGAAACTTTGTTTAAACAATGGTCAAAGTTATGGAAAAGTGTTTTTTTGACTCTCGTAAAAAAACTATTATTCATAGTGAAAAAAAGTTTATACAAAAAAGGTAGGTGTTAAATAAGCCTATAAAATGAGACAAGTCCGAATAAATTCCGATAATTTGTTTATGCTCAAAAATGGTTGAAAACGGCCGTTTTTTTCAATTGTTAATAATTAATGCAATTTTACTCTTTTTACACCCTTAATAAGTGGTAAAAATTTCAGCCCGAAAGCTTAATTGGTTTGGCATTGGCGGCATTTGTTATCTAAGAAGATGCTATTTTCAATTCACTTTTCCCAAGCTCACAGGCGTTGTAGAGTTTCGATCATTAGTTGTTTCTGTACCTAAATAGTTGTATTGACATATGCATTTACTGATAATTTAATTTTTTAATTTGTTTAAAAATGACTTTGAAGAAATGTTAATATTTATTAAATTGTTAAGATAGGTAATTATTATGAAATAAAATAGTAACCTCTATAGTTTAGTTAGTACTATTTTTCTTCGAATTTAAAAAAAATGCTCTGTTGATTAGAAGCTGAGATAATTTTTTTTTTTTATTTAATCGCAGTGACTTTAATTATTAATATTTAGAGCCGAAATTTGGAGAGAGTATACATTAAGAACTATATTTTCATGTACTACATTAATATTAAGGTGAATTCAACTATTTAATTGCGAAAAGAAGATAGCGGCGATGCGTTCTATTACTTGGTCTAGCGAACGAGTGGGGTGAGCGAAGGGGAGCATGCGCTCTACGTGACTGATTGCGGGCAAGAAAATGATCTAGCGGCTTCAAATCGATGGAGCTGGAAAAATTAGCCATATCTCGGTTAATAATGAACGTATCGAGATGATTCTTTTTTTAATTTGGGGTAGAGCGAAAATTCATTAGCATTGAAGCTATTGTATTATCGAAATTAACATTATTTCAACCCGAGAGTTAATTTTTTATTTAGTAAATCTCGGATTGAAATAATGTTAATTTCGTTAATACAATAGCTTCAATACTCATGAATTTTCGCGCTACCCCAAATAAAAAAAAATCATCTTGATACGTTCATTATTAACGCGTAGCGCACATGCTCCGCCTCGCTCTTCCCACTCGTTCGTTAGACCGAGTAATAGAACGCATCGCCGCTATCTTCTTTTTTGCAATTAAATAGTTGAATTCACCTTAATGTTAATGTAGGACATGAAAATATAGCTCTAAATGTATACTTTCTCCAAATTTCGGCTCTTAATATTAATAATTAAGGTCACTGCGATTAAATAAAAAAAAATATATCTTTTTTAAATTCGAAAAAAATGGTACTAATTAAACTATAGAGGTTACTATTTTATTTTATAATAATTACCTATCTTAACAATTTAATAAATATTAACATTTTTTCAGTCATTTTTAAACAAATTAAATTTGAAAAATTAAATTGTCAGTAAATGCATATGTTAATACAACTATTTAGGTACAAAAACAACTAATGATCGAAACTCTACAACGCCTGTGAGCTTGAGAAAAATGAATTGAAAATAGCATCTTAGATAACAAATTCCGCCAACGCCAAGCTAATGAAGATTTCGGGCTGAAATTGTTACCACTTATTGAGGGTACAAAAAGCCTTAAAAATCCTGAATTACAAATGACTACGATGAAAATTGTATTAATTATTAGTAATTGAAAAAGGCGGACATTTTCGACCATTTTTGAGCTCTTGCGCATAAACAAATTAGCGGAATTTAATCGGACTTGTCTTATTTGACAGATTTATTTAATACCTACCTTTTTTGTATAAACATTTTTTCTCTATAAATAACAGTTTTTTTACGCGAGTTAGAAAACCACTTTTCCATAACTTTGACCATTGTTTGAACAAAGTTTCCCAACTAGTCTCGAGTTGATTTTTTGATATTTTGTTTATAACACGTTTCTGAACAATATTCCGCAGAACTTCTAATAGTATTTTTTTCCCGAAAAAAGCTATAATGACTGGCCTATAACTCGATATTCGTAATCAGCGACACCAAAAACCCATAGAACCGTCGATTAGATTACTCAGGACACTAGAATGTTTAAAATATCTGCTTAGACGATAACTAATGCATGTTAGTGGCATGTTAGTGATACAGCATACTTTGGACATCCGTAACTATCCGACTCATTTTCAAAGGCTGGGTAAATGCAACTTTTTGATGCTCTCTCGATGTTCTACAATTTGGGCTAAGTCTCATTGCTGCTCTCTAGAGGCCCAACTGGGCTCAGTTCTTTCTTTCCAATTTCTAACTATTTAAATCCGCTAATAGCCAGAAATTGGAAATTACCAATGACAAACTCTCCAGATAAATAAGTTAACCAGAATAAAATGGAACATCTTAGTGTGAGCCAAGGAAAAAGAATAATTCGAAAGATGCAAAAGTTGAAATTGAAAACCTCGTTTTAAGAAGTAGAAAAAAAAATTTTTAGTAGAGGAATTACAAAATTACAGAACCTTTAAAATATAAACTGAACGAAGCAAAATAACAGGACAAATTTATTCACTGCAAGATTAGCATATAAGACCCAGAAAAATGACAAAATATTGCCTTTGCTAAAGAACATAGTTGATATCAGATTTTGGCTTCATATACATTGAGTAAAATTAAAATATTGATAGACGCAGTGAGCAAATTCTGACAATACCTCCATCTCTAAAAAGTTGCTAGATACTATGGGTTTATTCAGTATTTGTATACAAAATATGGAAGAATCCTAATATAATCGCAATAAAAGTCTCTGTCAAACTGAATTGTCTATATTGCCTTGAATCTCCAGAAGATCTTTAAGCGCTTCATAGTGGCCTAGGTGGCAATTATTTTAGAATAAATAAGTCCTTGAACTGTCTATTGGCTTGGAAGTCATTTGGTTTCAAACAATAATGTCCGCAATTGTGCCTTTATTAAAAAATGTAATCCAAATAATAAAGGAATTTAGTTGGAACGATTAGTCCTATGACGAATTTTATATTTACATCTCTATTTTCTCAAAATTTCCACCAAGAAATTGACAAAAAACGTATTGTCTAAAATATTCTCAGCAATCTCTGTGTCTCAGATAAAAAAATTCTTCCCTGTACCAAATTTAATTGAAATATCTTAAATATTACCGAAGTTATCTTTAAAAAGTGAGATAATTTTTTGCAGGCCTGTCAAATTGTCAAAAAGCATAATTTTAATAAGGCTAATGTTTTTTATTTTCATTTACCGAAGCTATCATTGTAATATAACCCATTGCTTTCGGACATCCAGATTTAATAATTATTTAACAAAAAGATAAATAAAATAAAGAAAAAAATTGGTAATTTCAATTTTAATCTTGGAGATAAAAAATATGGCTTTAGCATTCATAAATATTTATTGACAACACTCTTATATTTAACATATGGGTAATTAATACAAAAAAAAAATGTTTTTTACCACCACAATATTATATGACAATATTTAAATTGTATTACAATGTTGAAGTTATTATTCAAATAAACCCATTAAACACTCATTCATTGAAATTTGTTTTTAACTAAAAATATTGTTTAAGTTTGAAGTAACTAATAGGTATTTCAATATACTAACTTTTAAGATATGTGGTAATAAATTCACAGAAAGAAAAACATTAGTTCATTTTATGCTAATGAATTTGCAGACATATCAGTCAATTATTCAATAAGGGTAAGTGGAAGAATATTTATATTTATTCATTCCTTGTTGCTCTTAACACGACTATGATTATTACCTGCTGTAATTATTAGTTTGTCAATTAACAGAAAATTATATTAAGTTATAAAATATAAATTAAATACGTAATATTTTTCTCGATAACTGTATTGTTATCTGTTAAGTGTCACAAGAAGTGTTTCTGATCTACATAAAGTAATAGTATATTTTGCAACAAGAACTTTTTTCCATAAGGGAGCAAATCGTTGTGAGGAGATTACGAATGAAAGAAAATTCATCACCAGGTGGAAATGCTATTTTTTCTACTATACAATTTTATGTTCAATTTAATTCGAAGTGAACTATTATAATACAAATTATTAATTTTCTTGTAAAATTAATTGATGAATTTGTTGCAAATTTTGTTAGTTTTGTATTTTAATAAAGAAAACCTAAAAAGTGTGCTATGCTGTAAAGAGAAAAACTTAATTTTCGTATTGAGTATGCTGTGAGAAAATGCTTATTATCTAACACTACATGAATAGAAAACATATTTTTACACACAGGACGGAAGAGACTTTTTTTTGTTAAAGAAACAGCCATAATTTTCAAGTTTCCAGATTAATTAT